TTCTTGCATCAGTAGGTGCATCACAAACAGGTCTAGGGAGGTGATTTTCCCCCTCTATGCAGCATTGGTCAGGCTGCAGCTGGAGCACTGAATCCAGTTTTGGTCGCCGCACTTCAGGAGGGATGTGGATAACCTGGAAAGGGTTCAGAGGAGGGCCACCTGTCTGGTTAAAGGCCTACAGAAAAAACCCTATGTGGACCAGTTGGGAGACCTGAACCTCTTTAGCCTCCACAAGAGGAGGCTGAGAGGTGATCTTGTGGCCGCCTACAAGCTCATCAGGGGGGTCAGCAGAAAGTGGGGGATACGATGTTTACCAGGGCGACAGTTGGGGTAACTAGAAACAATGGACAAAAGTGAGCAAAGTCAGGCTGGACATCAGGAAAAAGTTCTTTACAGTGAGGGTCACCAAAATATGGAATACGCTTCCAAGGGAGGTGGTGTCCCCTTCCTTGGAAATATTCAAAAGGAGATTGGACAGACACCTGGCTGGGGTCATCTGACCCCAGCGCTCTTTCCTGCCTAGAGCAGGGGGTCAGACTCGATGATCTAATAGGTCCCTTCTGACCCTAATAACTATGAAACTATTGCATTTCCCTATTAATTTACACTACCTTAACTGAAATCAAAGTCTGGACCAATGACTTCAGATTATTATTTTGATTTTGCGCAAACTGAGATTCTTGCTGGCTTTTGCCAGGCTCCTCTGTCCCTTACACCACTCTGTAATATTTTGTTTGCTTGCAGATTTCAAGGGTCAGACTTTTTTCAAGCCATATCTATGTGATAAATTTCCCAGACTACAGAGCGGTATCCTCAAGCATGTTATGGTGGTCTGAGCAGACTGCCTCCTAAACCTGTTAGGACAGTCCAGCCATGTCCTAACAGTGCCATAGGATATCTAACTGTCACAGTCACTCAGAAGTGCTAGCAAGCTCAGCCAAAGCACCATGCAGACATGGCAGTCTAGGAGGTACATGAGGACATGGCTTAGGAGCACAGTAAGTTTATCCTGTAGGCATGGCCTGGTCCAACCTCCATTGATTTCAGTTTGGCCCCAAGCATTTTAAAACAATTCTTTTAGGATAGCTGATTTCTCAGTAAACATTGCCTGTTGGAGATACCATTGAGAACTTAATGCAAGTTCTTTAAAAATGTAGAAATTGTTCGTTAGTTAAAAGAAAAGACAGATGCATCATGTGAAAAGCTCCTGCTCAGCAAAGTGCAGTGCAGTTTAATTAGGTTTAAAAACCTTCAGAGGTAATAGCAGGCCTTTCATGTCTGGAGACCTAAGCTCAAGTCTTACTTAAGTTGCAAGCAAAAATGAGTTTGGGGGCTTTGTTCCAGTTCTGATTGTGTGCACGCTGCAAAACCATTGCACAATTTGACATGATTTGAAGTCTCTGCTTAGCAAAGGCCTGGAGCTGTAATAGCAAGGTTTTACTGCAGGTCAGAACTGAGGGATGTTGGCCAAGTTGTGTGAGGGTCCAGAGGTGTAATAACACGATGCATTTCTCTATCACTTTTCATTTTAGACTATCAAGGTGCTTTACAGATGTTAATAAATCTACTCTCGGAGCAGTCTGTGAGGAAGCCAAGTAAGTGTTACTAGCCCTATATTGCAATGCAGTATAGTAGGTAGGATGCTGGCTTGAGCTATGTTACAAACTCTATAGCTGACATACAGAGGGACTGTGGGCAACTTACCTCACACCTCTGCTACATCTCTGCCTCAGTTTCCCTATTTGCAGCATGAAAATAAAGCTGTTTGCCTTTGTGAAGTACACTAAGATGCATACATGAGCCACTCTGGCTAAAAACAAGGTGTTCTTATTTTACAGGGGAGGAAACTGAGTCACAACGATTAAAAAATGTCCCCATGCTACTCGAAATGCAAATAATAGCAACACAAGAAGTCTGTAGATGAGCTCACAATGCCCTTTAAGCACAAACCATTTTTCATGCCAAAAAGCATATGAAGAGGTGAGGAACTGAAGGGTAGAACTGATGCAACAGCAGAGCTAAAAGCTGGGCACTCTGTATGACTGTATATAGCTTTACCCAACTACATCATTTTCTCCCACCAAGAGCAAAGATATCCTCTCTTTCACACCCCCACCCTGTACTGCAGTGGGGAAAGGACTTCTCTTGCTGTCAGTTTAAGCCATCCCCACAGGACTGAGAAGTTCATATTTTCCTCCCCGCTCCTCCCTTTCTCTGGAAATTGCTGTGAACAGCAGGACCTTAATTTGCTCTCCATGGGGTGATGAAAGTAATGGTGCTGTCTTTTCCCCATGTACAGTCAGTAAATTGTCCCATGCAGGGTGTTCTGATAGGACTGTGAAATCTAAACCCTCCTACCACCCGTGACCACTAACACTGTGTTAGGGCTGGACTGCTAGAGACAATCAAAAGTTCGTATCTACCACTAGGAATTTGTGCGATTGACATGGGTCCTTTCTGCCTCCCTTATGCTTGCAGGTCTAACTAATTTTTTAAATGTCAACCTAAATCTCAGGATGACTTTGTTTTCAGTCCAGGATTTTTTTTGAACCTGCACTTGAAAAATGTTCCTGTTACAAAGGCATCAATGGCCTGTTGTGTTTGTTGTTTTGTGTGTGGGTGGGGGTGGGAGAGTTGTTCCATTGTTATTTCACATGGGGTTATTTTCCAGGGACTGTAATAAAAGATGTTTATTCTGGCCCATGGCAAATTTGTCACAGTGGAGTCTTGTGATTCTTTGGACAAAGAGGGTACTGAGCTGTGTGTTACAAGCAGCTGCGGTTGCTAGGTAAATAGATACTGTGACAAAAGATGGGATTTTCTTGAGCACGTTAGTTTATTTTGGTCTGTATGTTAACACTGATCTCATTTAAACGCGAGGAAGTGAAATTTGACATCTCTCAATACCATTGTTCAGATTAAATTCAGCAGAGATATAGTCTGAGATTTTTAAAGAAAGCTAAAAGAATTTGGGGCCCTGGTTCTGCTAAATTTCAAAGAGATTTGGTCATCTGACTCCCTTAGGCTATTTTGAAAATCCCAGCCATAGTTTCCTGTCTGCTATATTCAGCAATAGCATGCATCTCTTGAGAGTAGAGCTTTTGGAAAGTGGTTTCTCATTGCCTTCTGAATACTTGTCAGAGGACTGGGAAATGCAAGCACTGGTAAATTTGGACCCTATATGAATCATTTAATTCATATGCTGTCATCAAGGCATACAACACTAAAATGTGCCAGCCAAAACAACCAAGTCCTTGCCCCAAGCGGCTTATGTGAAAAGCCATCAGCAGGTACCATATGTATAACAATACACACTACAGAACACACACAACTCGGAATAGCTGGTAAATGGTGACGATGTAAGGAGGGCACGCTAAGCAGCCAAAGTGCTTCTTGCCTGACAATGCAGAGATAGCACGTTCCACAGGTTAGATCAGTGCTGACCTGGGTTCTACCCTGGCCTTGTCACCTCACCTCTCTAAACCTCTGTTTTGCTATCTAAAAAGGGCTTTTTAAAACCCACAAAAATAGGGATTCTCATATGAATAGTACTGTTCTGGTAGCTATGTAAAAGGCTGCTTATTTGTATACAGTCTGCAAAAACAGACATCTAAGAATGGCTAGTGCAAGGACCAGGTAATTTCCTAATGATGGATGCGAATATAAGTCGCTTTAAGCACCCAAGATGAAATTTGGAAGTTTTCCCATTAATTTCCATGGAGTTACGATTTTACCTTATATGTTTAAAGGGATTTGCCTCATTGAATAGCTTGGACATCTGAATATCCCCTAGAGAGCTAGAACACAGGGCTTTGATGAGAGATCCTGATGCAGAACCTTATTGCTCAGGATTAAGAACAGAAGAGTTTTGAACATTGCCTTTGTATTCACCAGTACAAACCAGGGCAGCTGAAAAATTGCTTTCCAAAACAAAGTGACCCAGTTAAGCACTGCATGATAACGAAAGCCAGAGGTGATTAATAACCACCAGGGCTGCATGTTGAGAGTACTTGTCCCTACTGTTTGCTTTTCCTTGACTTGCCTGTGTCAGATATTGTTGATATAAAGCCAGCCAACATGGAGGAGCTAACGGAGGTGATCACAGCCGCAGAATTCCATCCGCACCACTGCAACACCTTTGTCTACAGCAGCAGCAAAGGAACAATAAGACTGTGTGACATGCGGGCATCTGCCTTGTGTGACAGACACTCCAAATGTGAGTACTTCTGCACTTCACCAGGGCTGAGGAACGGAGGCGTTTAGTGATGGGATGTGAACGAAGAAAGGAGAAATCTGATTACAGGATTCAATCGCAACTGCATACAAAGCTTGAGGGTCAGAGTCACCTAAAGCTCATTATGGGGGAAAAAAATTTAAAAGAAAATCAAACAAAACCCACCCAACAAAGGGAATTGAAATTTGGATAAATATGAATCAGATGGTTTTATACAAGATCAGCCCTTAAGATTCAGACTGGAGTTTTGCTGGGAACCTCTCCAGAGTTAGGAAGGGTTTGCACGTGGGGGTTTTGTCTTAAATCAGAAGGGTCAAACACACTGCCTGTGGGCCACATCTGGACTGCAGAGCTGAGTCATCCAGCCCAGGGTCTTGATAGGGGCTTTCCCCCAGCAGCAGCCAAGTGCCTGGGAAGGACCCGTGGTGCTGGAGCCCCAGCAGTCTTGCAGCTTGTTTCTGGGGTGGCAACCAAGCTCCCACAATGCCCAGCTATTTCCTGTGGTGCTTCTGGGACTCCAGGCCATTGCTCTTGCCTGGGTGCTCTTGCCTGAAATTGGCAGCCAATCCAATGAGAGCCATGGCACTAGAGTTCCAGCAGCATTGCAGGAAGAAGCTCGGCATTGCAGCTTGTTCCCACGGCTGCAGCCAAGTACACAGGTGTGATCCATAATGCTGGAGCCCCAGCAGCACCATGGGAAGAAGCCCAGCACTGCAACCTGTTCTTGTAGCAGCAGCCAAGCCCCAGGATGCTGGGCCTCTTCCTACCAGGTCCCGAACTGGCTGGAGTGGGCACTGTGCACTGGATCTGAAATGGGGGAAGGATGGGGGCTCCATAGGCACGATCCAGCCTGTGTGGCTGGCCCTGCAATATTTTTCTGGCCTGCGGACTGATCCTGCAGCACCCTTGTGGCCAGCTGAGTTTGACACCCCTGTCTTAGATCATTACAAAATACAAAATTGAATTTGCAGAACTCAGATTCATATGTGCCTTCCAAAAATCCAGGAGCATTCCTATACAGGCTCAAGGTCAAGTCTAACCATATTCTGATATTGTTTTTCATCAGTCAAAAATTAGGCTTGACTATTTCATTGGTCCACGCAACACTTTCCTCTTTCTTTCCCTCTCTAATGAGTGGGGTTTTTTGTCATGGTTGATAAATGGACTAGAAAAAATAAAATCCAGATTTCACTCCAGCATTGGATCATCTTGCTCCAGCATCATGCAAGTCTTTGGCAGGCCTGTGAGCAAGAAGATAACCTTACTGGGTGCATCTACACATGCAAAGCTTTAAACTCCAGAGCAATTTATGCCAGAGTAAACAGCTCCTTGGTACAGCAGCAATTTGGGCTATCTTATGCCAGAGTGAATTATTTTACTGCACCATAATAATGGTGCGTGTATAGGTAGTGATGCTTTACTGTGGAGCTAATTAGCGTACTCCATGGTAAAGTACACGCGTAGATGCACCCAGTGGAATCCAGTGCTGCATATCTGGGCACTGGTAAGGGTATGGATAATAGATTGTAAGAAGCTATTTGTGAAACTTTTATATTGGAGCATCAAAATTATCATGCGATGACTGGAAAACCCATTTACCAAGGAATATAGGAATTGCTATACTGGTTCAGACCACTTGTCCAACTAGTCCCAATATCCTGTCACTGGCAGTAGTTGAAAATTCAGAAGTTGGGGGAAAAACTTTTTAGTGGACAACTTGGAACAAGCAGACCAGGTAGAAAATTTGTTCCTAACCTTTTTTGGGGTAATTATGCTCTGAGGCATAAGGATTTATATATCTCATCTTTATTTCACCCTCACTAAAGCTGACCAAATTATGAGTCGCCAATGATGTATCCAGCTAATTTGTCCCACTTCTTTCTCTTCATTGATCATTTACAAGCAGGAAATGACTATTAAGAAGGTATTTGTTCACAACCATTCAATGAATAATTTGTGAGAAATAGATATATCCAATAGTTTGTTCACAGATGGGTTATTATAAGTATTATCATTTGTGTAACGATGCTGCTTGGAGGCCAGGATCCCACCATAAGAGGCATAATACGTTGAATGTAGACTAAAAAATATGAGCCTTGACCAAAAAAGGTTACAGTTAAGACAAGGACAACAAGATATAATGCATACCAGGGTTTGTTAGGCCTGCCATATGAGCAGTCACTTAAGCTGCATGGTTTTATTTCTCTTGCCCAATTCCAGCTGTGGTTCTCTGCAAGTGTTAGCAATTTTTTATTACTGCTGTTTATGCAAAGAGCATTCCAAAATGGCCAGGAAAGCACTTTTGGTGCAAATGCTCTCCATGTAGTATCTGGCTACTGTCAAGAATTTTTTTGTCTTTTTTGCTTTCTATCACTAATTCTGCAATTAAAAGTTTGCTGAATGGGATGTTTGCAAACATGAAAATATAGGAGGTCACAAGCACTTATGAAACTGGTTGGCATGGTTTTTTTTTCACAAGAATCTTTCCAAGTTTTTTTCACACTTTTCTAATCTTTATTATATGCTATAGAACCAAGATGTGGTGACATCTTTTTTATTAACAGGATTCAGAGAGATTTCAAGAGGTGATTCTCCACCTATGATACCCCTCCCCAGAAAACTAGGCTTGAATCTTAGGTTCAAGTATAACATGGCAAAGAATACATGACTAGCGTAGGATTCAGCAAGTACTGCAGTGCCAGGGGTGCTTCTGAAGAAATACTGAAGAGAGGTCCTACAGGCTAGCATATGGTGACTGTTCAAATGGAAGTTGCTTCCTGTGGCACTACCTGCTTTAACCCAGCTTGGTTACATTTCTTCTCTCAGTAGAATTGATGTCCCATGGTACTATGCATGCTATTGGAAAATTCATAATATCCACCATATTTTCCTACACAGTTACTTGTGAGTAGAATTTACCATTTTGTAGAGCATCTTAGATTTACACATATTTACAGATGAGTCCTTTTTGTTCACATAGCCCAATGGTTGTTCTGACTCTGTTCATGAAATACTTGCAAGAGGTTATCTGAACCCAGCAACACTTGTGTTACAGATTATTACTGTTAGAAGATAACATAAAATAGGATAAGATCTAAGTGTGACTAGTGAAATACAAGCATATTACAGGTGGGCTCCAAATAGAACTTGGAATCCAAACCCCTTTGAAAATCCAGTTTTAAACCAGCTGTCTCTATGGATTGGTTCCATATCTGAAGGGACCTATTTTCCTGTAATATAGATCCTGTTCCAAATCAGAACAGCCAACCCCTCTTTGCAGATCCATGCCTTACAAGAACTACATACAAGATATCCAGCATGCATGATGTTGCAATATTGCAAGAACAAATTTGGCACTACTGAATCCTAACGCTAATAATCTAGATCTAGGCAGCACTTCCTCATCTCATTTCAGGTTCTTATCTCCTTGAGCTAATGGGAAATGAGGCACAGACAAATGCTTTTGATCTTCCAAGAGTGTAATTATAGCTTGACATCCACACAGTATTGCTAGGTTAAAAGCAGAGTAGATTAGGAGGAACACTGTCTATTTCCATATGGAAAGATTAAGATTTTGAATGGCAGTTTTTCCCTAAATTCCACAGTTTCTTTCCAGTTTCTTGCTACTCAGCAACAACAACTCTCAGCTGAGATTCATAATACAATTAAGCAGCAAACAAAATACATTTTCCTGACATTTTCAGTGCCAGAAACCCATATTTGGTATTTCCCTTTGTTCAGCTACTGATATGTCCTTTTAGTCTGCAGAGAACATACAAACCAACGGCAAAAACAAGTTCAATTTGACCTCTCCCTTGACATTTCATATTGATTTTCCTCTATCCTTCAGAAGCATCGGCCTTCAGTCAATTGCAGTTCAGCCGATGTGTGATTTGGAATGGAGACAGTTCATCAAAGTTCAAAATGAAAAGCAACGTTGGCTTTTGAAGATGAATTCTCTAAAGGAGATATTTAATAACCGCCAGTGTTTAATCAAAGTGCAGAAGATATCACTGCACATCTAAATCATGTCTATTAACCTTGCATATATGTTTGTGGCAGGGCAGCTTTCTGCCTGGAATCAGCTTTTACATAGGTGCTTCTATTATTGAAATGTACTTGCCCTTTGTATTTGATGCTCTGTTAAGTCTTAAGCTCCACCATTTGCATGTCACTTCCAGCAACACTGCGACTATACACTAGATTATAAAGAAGAGCATAATACTTTTCATTTATATAAAGCCTATTATCCAGTGGTTTCAAAAGGCACTAAGGGCGCATCTTCACATGCATTAGCGTGCTTTAGTTAATGAATGTTAAATGTAGTACCTGCATTGTGAGGTTCTAGGGAAACGCACACTAAGTAAAGAACATGGAACATTTTTACATGTGGTCCAGGACGTGGTGCTGGATGCTTTAATTAGGGAGCCGTGCTAATTAAAAGTGCCCACACGTCATGTGTATCAGCATCCCTGCACTGAAAAAATGGCAGTAGGGTGCTTTGAATTAAAGCTCATTGAACATGTTTTATTTCAAAGCGTCCTGCCATTTTTTCAGTGCGGGGGCACACAGGGACCCTGACGCATGTGACGCTGAAAGCTGCTACAGCACATCAGTTTCTGTGCTCCGACTCCAGTGTGTTGGAGTCAGCTCCCCGCACGTCTGTAAGAGCCCATGGTTTTTATGTGACACTTAATGTGCATTAGCTTATTGTAATGCACAATCACTAAAAAGCATGTTTTAGTGATGCTTTAATGCACAGTAAAATAAGCTAATGCACATTAAACTGCACATGTAGGCATGCCCAAAAACATTAATTAAGCCTTGGAATACCAATGTGATAGATACATTAAGATATAGTAATCAAGTGACTTGGTCAGAGGTATACCAGTTGGTGGTAGAAACAGAATCTAGGGTCTCCCCTGGTTTACTCACTAAAAGTCACAGTTCCTTTCATGAGCAGTAGTAGTGGAACACGTCCT